GGGAGAATGACCTGGCTGGCCTGAAACACCAGCTGTAGCCTTTATTGATCTACATATTTGTCAGGTAAAATGGCGTTTCAAAAATTCATTATTGTTATTTTCTAGATCACAGCCAATGGTGGGTCAAGTTTACCAAGAAGACATTCAGTAATAAACCATATAACTCAGGAGTAGCTTATCAGGACACTTTGATGCGAGTTATACTGTCTATCTATATAGAGTCACAGTGGGTGATGGGACAAGTGGAAAGGACAAGATGTGAGTAAGTGAAGACATAACATATGGCTGATGTTACTCTCTAATGTCTATATATGTAAGGGGATGGCAGCGCTCCCTACTGGAGAACAAAGGCAGGGAAACATTGTGGGCTTCAGCTTGTGGCAATGATTGCAGAATCACAGACGTTCAAGCTGAGAAAACAAGAGAAACACACACTTTAATAGACTGCTATTGAAAAAAAACCTATAAATTACACTCACGTGAGAGACTGTTTTGTCTCTTAAATCAATGATCCTTGTGGTCACTCAGGCTTTTTACAGAACACAGACGAACAAGAAGCAAGCTGTTGCTGCCCCCTAAAGGCATGACGTAGTCACAGAATGATTATGTACACCACAAGGAGCTGTAATTCACACAATAAAGGATTAGAGCTGCGTAAAAACATACACAGTAGCAGTAAATATGAGCTATTTTATTTCAAATAAGAAAAGGTTATTGTACCGTATTGTTTGTGCAGTTATTTAAAGTCTTACCTCAGTTTTTCTTGCAGCATCAAATTCATTTCTATAAGCGTCAGTAAGAAAAGAAACAGCGGCAGGAACATTTATTAATTTCTTGAAAAATAACAACTTTGCCCAATAAGTTGGACTATTTGCAAGTGAAACAAAACACTCCTTTCCGTCTCCAATAAAGCTGCACGCACAAGACAGGAGAATACGTCAGACAGAAGTTTAAGTTTGTTGGATGAAAGCATTTTCCCTATATGTGACATGTCACTGATATAATTCTCTACAAAAAAAAACAAGCAGGGGTACCTGCACCCCAGGGGATACTTCTAAAGTTGCCAGGGGGTACGTGGACTTTAGAGTAATTCAGCTCATTAAAAATATAAATAAAAAATGACATTTGATTAAAAAGTCAGAGTGTGTGAAAAGTAGTTGGCCAGCGAGCACAGAAGTTAAAACAGGTAGCTAAAAGGAAAGAATGAATGGTCAAATGTAGAAATACATAGTTAAATGTAATGAATATATGGTAGTAATTAATGGTAAATGTGGGGTAAATGGACTTGCATTTATATAGTGAATTCCTAGTCTTCCAACCACTCATTCAACATTCTCTCTCACACACACACACACACACACACACACACACACACACACGGCAGCATCAGCCCTCAGGGTGCCACCTGCTCATCAGGATATAAACTAATGCACATTCACACACATACTCACCCACCGACAGCACAGTCTTGGGGAGCAATTTGGTGTTCAGTAACTTGCTAAGACATGCGGACTAGGGGACCGTTCTACTTAAAGCTATAAGTAAGGAATACATGGTTGAAATAAATAGCTGAATAGCGTACTACTACGACTACCAGTAGTCGTAGTAGTATGATGATGGCTGACCAAACCAACCTAAATATTTACAGTATGAAAAAATGATAGCTATCCACTTTTATACAATGGTAGACATTTGAAACATACATTGGGATAAAGGGATACATGAGTACATCTGAGAACCACTGCATTAGATAGTGATACATTTTAAAGTTTTAATTGTCCATTTCTTTGCTCATTGCATATTTACTGTTTCAGGTAACTGCTATATATACACACTTGCAATACAACCTCCTCCATAATGTGATCAATCAATAACATAAAAACAGTACTATTAGACTCCTTTAACCCAGGACCAAGTCAGATTACTTTAATTTGTAGTATTTGGTAATAATACTCCTGTGTTACAATAAGACTTAAGCTTTGTTCCCAAACACTTAATTGTTCCTTTTCGGTATTTGTCAATGGAGGCCACTAAAGTGAAATTGTTGGTTCAGCAGACCCATAATGCATTTGGTGTCTGTTTGTAGAGACACACGACTATAAACGGCTTGAGGTCAGCATGACATAAAAAGATGACAGACTATCAGACCACAGAGAGACGGGCTTATCACTATTGTGACTTGTTCGTATTTCAGCGCACTCACTGCTGATCTGACGTGTGTCTATAGTTGCATGTAGTGCATCATAGATGAGCAGCATTCATGCTAGCAGCTATATGAGGCTACAAGCACAGCACTACCTTTGATGCTAACATGCGCAAAGGGACAATGCCAACATGTTGATGTTAAGCAGATAAAACATTTACCATAATCACACAGTGAGGCACAGAGATGATTTGCATTTACTTAATGCAAAGCAGCGCTACATGAACTAGTAAAGCCAAAATGGACTGATCTCACAGAACATACAGAAATACCTTACCTCGTCTTCAGAGTCTTCACATTTTCTAGAGCTAAAAGGGAACAGGAGACAAGGAAAAAGAAACAATGTCTATTTCGAAAAGTAATTTCCTAAAATTCCACTTGCAATGGACGACAACATGGAAAGCATCAGGAAATCCCTTAAAGCCACCACCACCCTCTCTAGCCCCGTTTCATTCACTCAACTCCATTTCAGTGTCTATGAGAGAACAATGCCTTTAAAACTCTATTATTTAACCCACATTAAAAAAACAACAAAAAAAAGTCAATATCTAATAAAGATCTTTATTTCAGATTTTAAATAGATTTACAAACCATAAGAAAAAAAGAAAAATACAAACAAGAAAAAACAAAACAATTAACATCAAGTGATCGTCAAATATCCACATGTGCATATCAAGGTAGAGATTGTAAACAGTCCGTTGAAGCCCATAAGTGAGACTCCGCGGGGTAAAGTTCACTCAGTTGGAAAAGGATTTGTTTGTTTGTTGGGAGATGTTATCGTTTCCTGAGGTTCTTGTCGTTTTTTTTTTTGTAATCAACTGTTGGGGTTGTTTTCCCCCGCAGTGATGCAATCACCAATCAGCTCAGAGAACTGGGGGACGAGTGGGGAGGAGACGATAAAAACAGTAGTTTGACAAAAATTAAATCCCATTCACCCGAAAATGTCAAAAAAAAAAAACAGACAGAGGGGGGGCAGGGGGTCATTCAATATTATTAATAATATAATAATAATAATAATAATAATAATAATAATAATTATAATATTCAGTGATAATATTCAATTATTGAGAACTCATTTCTGAGCATCTAGGGCTCGATAAAAGGCTGGAAAGATTACTGTGTGGTGGTTCTGCACAACTTTTCTGCCATTATGATATTTGTGTATAATAAAGTTGGTACATTTAGTCACTCTTCCATGAACAAGCCTGCGTTTTTAAACAATCAGGTCAATTTTCATAGCACTTAATACATACAAGATAGAAATCATTGCATCTCACACCACAATTTGGAAATTAAAGATTACATCAAAACAGTAAAAGAAGCCCCCCCCCCGAAAAAAAATGGACCAACCCTCAGCCCATTCACAATGCAACAGTTTTAGATAAAATTGAGTAGAGGACCTTTGTCTGTGGACACAACCCCGGCCGTTATAGCGGCTCTAAAACCACAAACGCGTCATAACAGCATGCTAGTGAAGAACCACGTTCTCCTGTTCATGCTCAAAGATCAACCCTATCCCCACTCCTTTTCCAACTCTGCTTCTTCTCAGCACATCTTAAAAAAAACAACACACACACACACACACACAGGGATGTTGGGAATTCCATCGTAAATACTGTTGGGTGGTGTTAACGTGTCTTTCAGCACGGCTGGCAGTCAGGAGAGAAGAAACCCCGGAGCTTCTGACAGTGGAGACTGAAAACAAAAACCCCCGTCAGTCTGCATATTATCCTGAAACCCTCTCACACTGCTACCCGATCTCATCTGAGGTAACAGGGTTCATTGATTCAGGTGAGTCAAGATGGCTGCAGTTTCAGAAGGGAGGGGGGGGGGGGGTGTGCCAGTACAGAGAGCCGCCACTAGGGAGCGAGCTCTGACGAAGGCTGGTGTGCAACCTCGCTCTCGTCTCTTCCACCCTGGAGACTTGTGCCTCCCTGGAGTTGGAATAACAAACCACTGACACAAATACACATGTCCCAACTCTGACAAAAGGGACATAGTCCTTCCAAAGTCTGTCCAAAGCCCTCACAGGTTGTAAAACTCACGCTGGAGTTCAGGTCAGACTGTTGAAAGGCTCAGCTTCACTGCCACGTTTAAAGCACTGCATATTAAGTAGGTTCAAGCACTGACTGCATACTTTTTGTTTAAAAATACAGTACATTGGATTTCATGAGCAGCAGCAGGCTCAGCCAGCTGTTTTCTTAATGCATCCAGGCCACTAGTAGCGCGTGCTTGTATGATGAAGGCTGCGTGGCAGTCAAGAGGACGTATGTGGGATCTACATTCCAGTCTTTAGTTCAGCTGTTGGGATTTTTTTTTTTTTTACACCTTTCTCAACTCACACCCTGGACAAATCTGACAGGTGCTGCTATGAATAAGTTTGTTCCATCAGGATGTTTGTGTGGTATCCCCACACCTGAAACCTTGTGAGCTTGAATATCTCCCCTCCGCTGCCTTTCGTTTGTGCGTATACGGTCTGTCCCACAAGTCATTCAGCTCTGTGTTATCAGGGAGTGAGGGAAGGCACAAGGGAGTGTCAACAGCTTTTCTTTCTTGAAATGGATAACTCCCCTGTTTTGGAGCAGCACAAGCCCTGAGGCTCTAAAGTGTCCGAGGTGAAGCGGGGCAGGGCTCCGAACGCCCCGCGAAACCGGAGAGGTCACAACACATGGCTCAGAGGCAGAAGTGACTCAGCTTTTAAAAACTCATACCGTGAGTCTTTCTTTTTCTGAATTTGCTTCCTTTGCTCCCCGCTTGTTGTACTCTGATCTGATCTGACGTTACAATCCACCCCGCTGTTGATGTCAAGAAAAAGGGCGTGACTATTACGTGGCCAAATTTTCTACGAGAAACGTGGCCACCAGACGGGTTTTGTTCCACTCACAGCCGGAGGGAGGAACAGGTCTCGGAGCTAAAAATGCTTTTTGAGAAAATTAAACCAGATATCAGTGCAGACAAACAGAAGCAGATAAGAAAGTACTATTATTGTCGTGTTGCTGTGTGTGTGTGCGCGCGCGTGTATCCTCTACTCAGACAACCAATTAAAAAAAAAAAAAGAGAGAGAGAAACATGTAAGAAACAAAACTGTAGCTTTCTTTTCTTCGCTGCATCAGGTTTTAGTGTGCATACTTTGCACATGTGACAGAAGGTGGACAGGGGGGGGCCTGTGATAAGTGAGGATGATGAGGGGTTTATTAAGGAGGAAGAGGGGGGGGCAGGGAATTAAAGTTCAGTCCATGACAAGAGAGGGAGGCGTGTGTGGCGGGGGGGGGGTATCTGGGACAAGGTGACGTCGTGGGGAGGAAAGGTCAGGAGGCCTCGGTGCCCGAGTCGTCGTCATCGTAGCAACAGTCCTCGTTGTCCTCGTCGTCATCGTCGTCGTCGTCCAGCTCCTCGTCGTCGTAGTAGTCGTCGTATAAGAGGTTGGATCCGTCGTCTGTGGGCGGGACTTGGGTGCGGACGCAGTACTCGTCCAACGTGATGGGAACCTTGACACCGTCCCGCTCTGCCTCCGCTTTGGTCGCCACCACCTGCTTCCTGCGAGGAAAGACGAGAGAGGAAAAAACAGATGAGGCCACGCTGAGCGTCAGCGCTGGTACTTTGTGTACCTGCTACGTGTGAAGAGTGCCGTGTGTGCAGTTTTCCTTCTTCCTCTCGGTACCTGATGATCTCGATGTATTCTCTGTCCTTGCCCTTGCTGTCCCTCCACTTGCGGTACATGACGGACGCGTCCACGTTGGCCGGGGAGAAAGTGTTGGGCTCGTTCAGCAAAGAGATCACGCTGAGCAGAATGGTCCTGAGAGAGACGTCCAAGAGTGGAGAGAGATTAAAATACAGGAAGAGGACGGGGTAAGACGAGACAAGAGACATTGAGAATACTGGGCAAAGAGTCGTACAGGGAAATAAATAAATAAAAGAAAGGACACAGAGAGAACAGAAGGGGGGGGGGGGGAGAGATGAACCCTAGAACATCCATTTGTCTCTGCTGTCGTCTGTGGAATTTGGCTCCAAGAGCTGTTCATTAAATGTACTGACAGAAATACATCACTTAAAGTTCACTTTGACTCAGGTGAATCAACTCGTACTTGTGATCTCCTAGCAGCTCTCCTGTTTCCATGAGGCAGATTGTGGGACTGATTTTGTTGTTGGTGAATTATACATCACGTTTGGACGTTTATACATCTCAAACAAACGTTTAAATTAAGTCCAATAGTTACAGATTACTCACTAATGATCTATTAGCTGATAATAGCAGCGCTGCTCCTAGATGCTACATAATCTAGAGATATATAACAAATGGGGTGAAAAACTAGCGTACAATAATAGCCAAAAAAAAGAAGAAAACTACATAAAGTCGTGAAAAAAACACCCCCAACAGGATAACATCTAAATCCTGCTCGCTAGATAAGAAAGCAATCTAAAAACCTAGCTGGAGGTCAGTCTGGTGACGCTGACTTACGACAAGCTGCATAAACAGTTGCATGACTTGTGAAGCCTTTAGTCTGTGTTGATTGGTGGACAATGAGACGATGAAGGAAGTGTGGACAGTAGAAGGAGGCTAGTGATGAGACATCGCATTAAGGTGCAAAGCTACTGGAAATCAACGCCACAAAGTGTTTAAACAAACATTTTGATGCCAATCTTATCAAAAAAAAAAAAAATCTATATTTGACATTTTGACTAAAAGGCAGATGACTGGAATGGGGAGCGTGTTGGGCAGATGATTCAAATAACAATATTTAAAGAGCCAGCTGTAAGCCACTAGACAAACAGCTGACTGCTTATTGTTGTGTGCGTGTTGTTCTTTAAGAAGAACCAGGACAGAACTGAGAGCATTGCGTCGTGTACCTGACGTTCTGTGTGGGGTTCCACCTCTCTGAAGGCAACTCCCCGCTCTGTGGGTCGTCCACTGGTGGGTGCAGGATAGAGATGCATACATCCCCGTTCTAGGGACACAACCAACAGTTTACTTATTACAACTCAGATACAGTTAAAAGACTCCACTGGGATTGCTTTAGAAATCCTTCTAAAACATAAGAGTTGAACCAGGATCTAGTGTTATCATATACTCACACATACCCTACATATATGACACTATCTCACCTGTGTATTAATAAAAGATATGAGCAGCTCCAGTATGTTTTGTCCAAGGACTTATACTGGTCACAATTACCTCATAAATGTTGGGGTGCCACATTTTGGTGAGGAAGCGGAAAGCCGGTGGAGAGTACGGGTAGTCGACGGGGAACTTGATCCGAGCCTGAGGGCGAGAGAAGACACATATTAGCTGCGTGAGAGGCAGGCAGTTCATTTGCATTTCTCCCTCACCAACAGACAAGTCATGACTCATGACTACTTCCCTCCACACTGTTGCAGTTTGGGAGAAACATTTCCACCCAGTCGGTCAAAAGAGCCAGACCGTCTCAAATGTACCCGGGAAAGTAAAGGGTGACTCCTTCAGCCACATGTAATCCGCTGCATATCACTTTATAGGGACTAGTGATGCTGTTTACTTAAAGAAAACATACAGTGTGTATTGTATCCACCCATTCGACATGCTAAAAACTACTCTGCTTGTGGACATAGTCTGCCAGGGTAAAGTGAATCAAGAATGCAAGTCTGTACAATGCTGCAGAGGCATCAGGCACGCACACACACACACACACACACACACACACACACACTGGGGAGTAAGAGAGTGCTCGATTCTGTACGTTGTCATTCACAAAGACTGACGCTTGCAGCACTGGTGTCAACAAGCAGGTGCTGAATGAAGATCTCCACAATCGCGCTGATCAGCATCAGCAGTGATTGAAAGAAAAAAACAAACAAAAAAAACAAACAAAAAAAACCTATAAATAGTAGCTGTACAAGTCTTGGCAAACTGTGGCGCGTATGGACGAGCTAATGACAGTGTAATGTAATATTGCATGGAGGGAGGGAGGGAGGGAGGCAGTGCATTCAGCTGCCGACTGTGTGGAGCTTCGAGACACCGATGGGTGAGGGGAGGGGCTGCTTGTATAAAAGACATTGTGGGGGTTTGTCCTCTCCAGCTGTCACTGCAACCCAACACAATCCACTACTCACACCCGTGTTCTGCTATAACCCCCCCCCACACACACATACTGTATAAATGCTCCTATGTGTGGAGGACCCCGCCTCCCGTTCCATAAGGCGTGCCATGGGTGGCAGAGGGGGGTAGACACACAGATACTGATTACACACACGTCACTCACAGCATGAAACCTTCTGCTTAACCCCGCTGTCATATGCACACACACTTGTTCACATTTGCTGATTCGGCATGGTCAGCTGGTCTGCACCACAGTGAGCAGACAAGTGGGAGGTAGTGGGGGGGGGGGGGGGGGGGGGGGATTCCACTTGGAAATAAAGGGGGTTGTGCTCTATACAATATGTGTGCTTAACATTAAGGTCTTATCCCTCTTTGCATGCAATATAGCTTTTAAGCCAGCGCTGGATGGAGCAGTAACTCATCAACGCTGTGACCAAAACGCTAGACGTTTGACCGGTTAACGGTCACGGAGTCTGTCCGATAGAGCTGCAGTTCAGGAGTGGAGAGGGAAACACTGACACAGTCCTGAGAGAATGCCACGTGTAGGGGAAAATAACAAAATCCCCGGGTCGGAGTGACCCCGTCAGAAAGCTGGCGACCACGTCAGAGTGCAGGGTTCAAGCAAACATTGTACATATTACTGGCTGGCAACAGGGCAACACAACAACAACCAGGGTGAGGAGGAAGACGAGGGCCAGGGAACAGTGGGAGCTGGGTTTGTCTTCCAAAACAATATCAGCATCAAGATTATAACTGTCAAGTCCACTGACTGAGACGTAGGCAAAGATAAAGATTATTTTTATATATCTGGGAAACCTCCCTGCCTCCGTAACAATGTGCCAACACTCCCAGTGGGAAAAGTGGTTTATGCCCGTTTGTCTTCCGGTGAGCTTATGACGAGCTCTTCAGCAACATGACATCTGATTATGAAAGCCCCCAGATGGTTTTAGTTCTCTTGCATCGTTATGGATTTTTAAAAACAATCCTAATTCACACCACCAAAATGTCTTTGGTAAAGAACCGTCTTATCCATCCAGTTTCATCACAACCCTTTTTATGACGCCCTGGAAACAAAAAAGGCACAACCGTAAACCAGAGCAAGACAACTCTTGGTCGACACACGGGGAAATGTCGGGTACCAACTACTCCACATCGCTGCTTTCATCACACGGGATCTTTATGCCCGTGCATATTTGAATAAAACAAAATAAAAAATAGATCCCACTTTGTAGCCTTCTGCTTTGAGGCCTTTGCACCGACACCATTAACTAGCTTCATTCATCACAATCCTGTGAGTTTGAATGCAAGCTACAAGTAAAGCAGGAAGCTGGGGATATGCATTAAGGATAAGCATTGATTTAAGAAGGTAAGAGCATGATTTCACAATGCAGCTTACCAGGAGGCTTTCAAACCATATTCCTTTCAACACAATGCCACAAACACAGGCCATTCAAAGCTCAATGATACTACCAGCATACAACTTGACACAGTCAGATGGCTAAGAAGGGAAAGGTGTGCGTGTGTGAGGTTTTAGTAGCATCCAACAATTAAGTTGTTGTAGTTGCAGAGCAGTTTGTCCTGAAGGTCTGTCCAGGTGATGGGTGCGTTACAGGCCGTATTAAGGACCATTTAACCACCAGTAACGTGGAGTTCACTGACCAGAAGATGGCCTGAAACTCTTGACCTGCCCACCAAAGTGACACCAAACCTCAGATTGATGGAAGGAGGGTGGAGATGTGTGATGGCGCTCGGTCAGCGAGCAGAGAAGAAACACGAGGAAGAGGACGATTCAGCAGGGTCTTAGAGGGCCGACATCAGCTTCCTCTTTAGTTTCCATCGTCATGTATTGAATATATCTATTCCCACCCGTATCATATACTCACACATGAGCCTTTACTGTACGACAGCTGCTCTCGCTGTGTCTCCATTACTGGTCAGGACTTCTTTTTGCTTCGGATACAGCAACTCAAAGAAGATCTCTGCCCATCGCAAAGTGCTCGCCTCAGTACACTTGCTGCAAAATGCTACAGCTGACTTGCATGTCATGCCTCATAATTGGATTGAGCACAGAATTAACAGCATCCGCAGTCAAAAGGTGAGTAACCCTGAACAGCTCATTTGCAGTGCAGCCAATTTCCTGCCGAGCACGCAAAAAAGGACTCATGAAGGGCTGGTTACCGAGACTACGGGACAGCAGATAAACTTTATATATATATATATATATCTTGTTCGGATTGTGAGCTTAAAAGCAGCCTTGAAGGGAGAACAGGAACGACGGGGAACGCGCCCGCCGTGTGGAAAAGGACAGCAAGGCGAAGTAAACCAGGTCAATGCAAAGACCCTGAACAGAACAAATCATTCCGTTCTCCCCGAGCACCGACTCGCCTTCTCCACAGACCTTATCCTCATACAGCCAGGCCGAGCTCACGCTGAGCGGAAAAAAAAAAAAAAGTCCCTGTGTCGGGCAAATTCCATACTCACTCACTCACTCACTCACACACACACACACACACACGATCATCAGGACCGTACCCAGCAGGCCCCGGCCTCATTAACGAAACTCAGGAGCAGAACGTTGAGGAGAGGGGAGAACGGATACAAAGCTGAATTTATAATGTGACAAACGGGAGTCTTAGGGTGATCACCATTTCAAACACACAGCTATGTTTGAGAAGTATATCACCACACTGGTGGCGTGTACAGGAAGAGCAGAAAGAACACACATGGCCAGGGCTTCAGGGGACGGTAATAACTGTCTGCTGGGGCCTCACGTCACCTCTATCCACAGCAGGCTCGCCTTTCAAAAGAAGGGGCACCGCTGCAAGGAAGGGCTCTGCCTGATCTCGATTCCGGCGGTTTCTGTGTTCCCTCCTCTCGTTTCTCCGGGACACAGCCGGGGGGGGGGGGGG